CTCCCCGCAGATCTGGCACGCGGCGGCGAGGTGGTCGGGGAGCCACGGCGGCGGCGCGGAGATGGCGTGCAGGAGGGCTCGGCGCTGCTCGGCGCTGATTGGCCGCCCGCCCCGCAGCGCCGCCTCGGAGGGTCCCGCGTGCGAGAGCGGGCAGAGGCCCTCAGCGTCGGGCACCTGATTCGTTGATGAGTCGAGGTGTTGAGGAGTGCCGCACCTCACCGATGCCTCGCGGCGTGGCGCACGTTCGGAGAGGCGCCCGCGGCGACGAGCGAGCGCGCGAGGCCGAAGTGGCCTGCTTAGCGAACCACCTCTCCATGCACTCAATGCTGTTAGCTATTCAGCGAGCGTGCGAGGCCGTGCTGCACCTCGCCACGCCGCGAGGTGCAGCGGCGTGTGGCCACGCCCGTCCTGCAGGAGACAGTGCGGACGCGGGTCAGGGAGGGGCCAGGGACGCTGCGGCGGCGTGTCGCCCCGCCCGTCCTGCACGTTGATGTGCGCCCCAGCGTCGAGCAGCGCCGCCAGCGTCTCCGCCGCCGCAGCGCCGCCGCCATGGTCGCTCAGCCGATGCAGCGGCGTCTGCCTGGCAGCGCATCGGCTGTCCCTCAGTCCTTCACGGAGGAGGGGGCTGGCTCTCCATTCCGATGCAGCGGCGTCTGACCAGAAGGGGAAGTCGGCGGCCTCTCTGCGACATCTCTGCGATCTCTCGGCGACCTCTCGGCTATCGCTATCTGCCCCGAGGTGAAGTCTGCGGTGTTTGGTGACGCCCCGGCGGCGAGCAGCGCCTTGCTCGCGCGGAGAGGCTCCACGCCTAATGAATACTTAATGAACACTTAATTAATAGTTAACGAGGCGCCCGGCTCGCGCGGAGAGGCTCCACGCCGCAGACGGCGTGCTGCAGCGGCGTGCAGCCCGCGGCATCGCGCTCCTCGACATCCGCGCCTGCGCATGTGCCGTCGCTGGTCATGCACTAGTCAGTACGAGTAGGCAGCATCCCTCCTTCACCTCCGCGCCTGATCATGGTCAGTCACCGATGACAGCGCCGGCAGCCAGCGTTGCGTCGCGCTCCTCGGCCTGCCGCACCGCACGACAAGAGCAGCTCGCAGCAGGCGGGCTGCTGCGCGCTGAGGTGAAGCGGCGTCTCGCCGGACGGAGCCATCCTCGCCTGCTGTTTGGCTAAGCACGTGAGGACGCGCCACCACCCAAAGCGGCGTCTCGCCGGAGCCATCCGAAGCCTGCAGCGCCGCACCGCGCGACAAGAGGAGCTCGACGAGCGGCGCAGCGCCTGCGGGGCATGTCTCGGACATGTCCCGGGGCGGTGCGAGGGACGGGAGGAGCTCGACGAGCGGCGCAGCGCCCTTCTTCGCGGCGAGGTGGAGGGGGGCAGGGCCGCCACCTTAGGGAGGAACTAGTCACTGGTCAAGCACGGGGCATTCCCTCTGGTTGAGGGGTGGAGGGGCCGCCGCCCGCTGGCTGGGCATTCGGGTCGGCAGACGCGTCTAGCAGCGCCTGAGGACGTGTCCCGGACATGTCATGGACGTGTCCTGGGCATTCGGGTCGGCAGACGCGTCTAGCAGCGCCTGAGGACGTGTCCCGGACATGTCATGGACGTGTCCTGGGCATTCGGGTCGGCAGACGCGTCTAGCAGCGCCTGCACGGAGATTACCCGAGATTACCCGAGATTGCCCGAGATTACCCGGGTCGGCAGACGCGTGTAGCAGCGCCTGCAGGGAAGGGGAGAGGCGAGGGTCGGAGGGAGGGTCGGGGGGGAAGGGCGCGTGGCCGACGCGTCCAGCAGCGCCTCTGCCGCCCCCGCGTGGCCGTGGAGGGTGGCGAGGTGGAGGGCGGTGTAGCCGCTCTCGTTCGCCACATTCGCCTGCGCACCAGAGACGGCTCGCCGTGTTGCTGGGCGGCTCAGCGTGGCAGCCGCACTGGCTGGCCAAGCTCGCCTCGGGTAATCTCGGGTAATCTCGGGTAATCTCGGGTAATCTCCGCACTGGCTGGCCAAGCTCGCCTCGCCGCCGTCGCTCCCAGACCCAGTCAGCAGCATCCGCACCTGCTTCAGCCGCCCCGCAGCAGCTAGCTCGTGGACCAACGCGCCGCCGCCCCGCCGCAAGGCGGAGCCGCCTCCCGCCTATGGGACATGTCTCGGACAGGTCGTGGACGTGTCCTGGACATGTCCGCAAGGCCGAACAGCCTCCCGCCCGCCGCAGCAGCGCCGCTACGCGGAGGAACGCGCCGCCCCCCTCCCCTCCCTCGCCCCCCTCGCCAGCCCCCTCGCCCCCGCTGCCGCTCTCGCCCTCCGCCAGCGACGCGAGCACGGCCGTGTCCAGGGGCGTGCAGCCCTCGCCGTCCACCTGCGCTCAGCTCGACATCACGAGTAAGGAGCCACGTCCGGTATCACTGTAGTACCCGTCTTAGACTCCTCTCCCCTGTCCACCTCCCCCGGCAAGCTGTGCTGTTGTCACTGTTAGAAGCACTCCCATTCCTCCTATCATCACTGTCCACCTGCCCAGCCGGCAAGCCGTGCTGTTGTCACTGTTAGAAGCACTCCCATTCCCCCTATCATCACTGTCCACCTGCCCAGCCGGCAAGCCGTGCCGGAGGAGGAAAGCGCACGCCTCCGCGTCGCCTGCCGCGGCAGCCGCGTGGAGCAGCGAGCCGCCGCCCTCCCCCTCCTCGTGCAAGGACGCGCCTGTCATTCCACACTCTTCAGTACTCTTTCAGGATCGGCCGTGTCCTAGCTGTATCCTAGCTGTGTCCTAGCTGTGTCCTAGCTGTTTCTTTGCCGTGTCCTAGCCGTGTCCTAGCTGTGTCCTAGCCGTTTCTTTGCCGTGCCCTGGCTGGGTCCTGTTTCCTGGCTGTGTCCTAGCCGTGTCCTGCTCATCCCTCCCCTTCCTCAGGGACGCGCCGGCGTCGAGGAGGCGCTCTGTACCTCGGCCGTACCTCGGCCGTACCTCGGCCGTACCTCGGTCGTATCTCGGCTGTATCTCGGCTGTATCTCGGCTGTATCTTGGCGCGCCGGCGTCGAGGAGGCGCTGGCACGTCTCCCACCGGTGACACGCCGTCGCAACCTGCGGCGATTCATTACTTAACTAATTAATTAATTAATTATGTCTCCCACCGGTGACACGCCGTCGCAACCTGCACGGCGGAGCTCTCACTGGCTCAATGCGATCGTCAGCCATGAACAACAAATGCCACTCTCTCAGCCTGCAGCGGAGAGGCGGCCGCGAAGGGCGAGCCTGCCAGTGCAACCAACAATGGCTGATGCTGCGAGCAAAGAAGTGCTCGGCCACGCGGAGTGGAGAGGCGAGCCGGCGGGGGGCCTCGCAGAGAGGGAGCAGGAGTGCGGAGGTCCGAGCAGGGCGGCGAGCAGCTCCTGAGGACATGTCTCGGACGTGTCGCGGACGTGTGTCCCGGACATGGAAGGGCCGAGCGGGGCGGCGAGCAGCTCCTGAGGACATGTCTCGGACGTGTCGCGGACGTGTGTCCCGGACATGGAAGGGCCGAGCAGGGCGGCGAGCAACTCCTGAGGACATGTCTCGGACGTGTCACGGACGTGTGTCCCGGACATGGAAGGGCCGAGCGGGGCGGCGAGCAGCTCCTGAGGACATGTCTCGGACGTGTCGCGGACGTGTGTCCCGGACATGGAGGTCCGAGCAGGGCGGCGAGCAGCTCCTGAGGACATGTCTCGGACGTGTCTCGGACGTGTGTCCCGGACATGGAAGGGCCGAGCAGGGCGGCGAGCAGCTCCTGAGGACATGTCTCGGACGTGTCACGGACGTGTGTCCCGGACATGGAAGGGCCGAGCGGGGCGGCGAGCAGCTCCTGAGGACATGTCTCGGACGTGTCACGGACGTGTGTCCCGGACATGGAAGGAGGGCCGAGCAGGGCGGCGAGCAGCTCCTGAGGACATGTCTCGGACGTGTCGCGGACGTGTGTCCCGGACATGGAAGGGTCCGAGCGGGGCGGCGAGCAGCTCCTGAGGACATGTCTCGGACGTGTCGCGGACGTGTGTCCCGGACATGGAAGGGCCGAGCGGGGCGGCGAGCAACTCCTCCTCTGGCATCACACCTGACGCATGGGCAGGGTAAGGTCTGAGGCATCGGCCGACGAGGAGGCCCCTCCTCCTCCTCCTCTTGCAGCGCGCCGCTCGAGCCGGCGGCGGCGAGCAGGTGTAGCGGCGAGGCGCTCCGGAGCGAGAAGAGCCACGCCTTGGCCGGGATCGAGTACTGAGGAGGCATCACTAGTCATAGTTGCTACGAGCAAGCGGGGAGAGCCACGCCTTGGTCGCCGCAGGCAGCGCGAGCACCTCCCCGGGCACCTCCTGGCGGACATGTCCAGGACACGTCTCGGAAGTGTCCCGCCGCACGGCAGAGCACTCCGCTCTCGTCGCTCCTGTAGCAGGGAACGGAAGCGGGCGGCGGCGAAGGCGCCGGCCGCTTGCTTGAGCAGGGTGGTGCTAGAGGTGGCGCTCTCGCCTCCTCGCCCGCCTCCGCCGGCAGCGAAGGCGAGGCCGGCGCGGGCCTCCTCCCGCGCCGCCTACAGGAAGGGTCCAGGAAAGGTCTAGGAAAAGAAGGCGAGGCCGGCGCGGGCCTCCTGCCGCGCCGCCTCCCTCAGCGTGGCGCAGACGTTGGCCGGGGAGAGGATCGCCTGCAGGAAGGCTCCGGCACCGTGAGCCGGGAGGCTTCCAGGAAGGGACGGCGGCAGAGGCGCCTCACCACGAGGCGGCTGGCGGTGGCGTGGAGCAGGGAGGGGAGGCGCCACAATCCGGCGAGCTCCCGCAGCGCGAGCAGCTCCTGATTACTCATTGCCCATGCATCACTCACCATTCATGATCAAGAGACCCCGCAGCGCGAGCAGCTCCTCGTGCGACAGCCCGTCCGGCGGCGGAGCCTCCAGGTAGACGTGCCGCAGCGCCGCCTCGACCAGCGGCCTCTCGGCGTCGACAGAGAGGCGGATCGCTGCGGCGGTGACGGCGGAGGCGGTGGGCGCGAGCAGCTCGCGGAAGTGCTCCGACCGCGCCGACAGGACCAGCCGGTGGGCGGCAAACTCCTCTCCCGACCGAGGCACGAGGCGGCAGTCGGAAAAGGACCCGTTTGCCCAGACCTCGGCGAGCCCGGAGCTGAGCGCCGGCGCGAGCGCCGAGGATGGCGGCGGCGGAGGAGGAGGTGGAGATATTGTAGGGTCGTCGTCGAGGACGTGCGCAGGCGGGGACCAAGACATAGGAATGGGGTGGCCTGGGCGGCTAAGAAAAAAGAAAAAACGTCCAGTGCGAAAAACCGCGGAAGCAAGGCTGCCTGTAAGCTCTGCTCCTAGCCTTGGTTGCGGCCCTCTCACTTCACTGCAGAACTATTAAGAGTGAAGCGTCCTCGAGGACCCGTCTTCGCGGCGACGAGCTTGTGTTGTGTTGTTAAGAGTCGCTTATATAAAATGAACTCGGGGGCACGGGACGCGGCACAAACGGGGCACAAACGCCAGGCTACAAAGACGGGGAGGCACGTAGTGACGCAAGAGTCGCTTGCTATGTAGTATACTGAAGTAGTCGACCATGAACGAGATTACGAGTTTGTGCAAAAAACATTCGACAGCAACAATAGAGAATTTTACAACAAAAACTCCCAATAAAAGAGACATGACGAGCGCCCCCCCCCCCCCCCCAAAGGAGTTTCAGGCAGCCGCACCGTATCGCACACACGGACACACGCATGGGGTTGACCCTCGCGTTCAACATACGCGTCGCCCCATCGCCATCAAAGTTCCCTAACGATGTGCATCATTCTCCGTCGCCCCCGCAGCACGCTCCCCGCTGTATGCCCGGCAGGCGGAGGGAGCGGATTGCGCCGAAAGGCCATTGGTTCGCGCCACGCAGAAGCGAGGGGAGTGCGAATCGGCAGCACCTCCACCCCATCCACGATCGATAAGCGAGACGGGGATAACAGACGCCAACATGCTCAGCCGGAGCAAATCGCCCTCGCCGTCTTTTGTTCGGTGTACTGCGACCGAATGGACCCCACGTTTGGGTTCCCCCGGTAGTTGTACTGCACGGTGTTTCCTCGCCGGGGGAACATCTCGCAGCCGCCCAGGTCGTCCTTCCAGCCCTCGCCTCCTGACGTAGTGGTGTACCGATATCCCAGCGTTCTGGCGCACTCTCGGCACTTTTGCTCCCCAATGTAACAAGCTCGGTTTCCGTCTGTAACTCGGCACGCGGGCGGCGGGGGCGGCGGGGGAGGTGGGCGCGGCGGGGGCCGCGGGGGCGACGGAGGCGGTCGGGGTGGCGGGCTTGGAGGTGCAGCTGCCGTACTTGCCAAACTTGAAGACCCTCCCGCCGCACGTGCCGTTTATGACCTGGGGTTGAGGGCGGGGTTGTGCGCGCCGGCAAGGCCCGAAGGCACGATCCCACGAATCCGCGCGTGTATGGAGACGGGACTGCACCACCAGGGAAGGTGCGTGCAGCGTGTGTGCGTGTGTGCGCATGTGTGCTTGTGTGCATGTGCATGTGCATGTGCATATGTATGTGTGCTTGTGTGCTTGTGTGCATGTGTGTGTGCGTGTGCATGCGTGTGTGTGTGTGTGTGTGTGTGTGTGCGCTCTTTGAGAAGAGCGTGTTGTGCTGCCTGGTAGCCCCAATTTTGCTGGTTGAGTTCGGAGGCCCAAAACGATACCTGGGCGGTGTAGCCGGCCTCGAGCTTTGCCACCAAATGCGTCTCTACGAGGAACGTGCCGTTGACCGTGAGCGCGCCGTCATGGAGCTGGAAGAGCGCCTCCTCGGTCCTGACGTTGACCGACAGGCGCGGAGTGGAGAGGAAGTTGTAGAGGGCGTTGTGACGGCCGCGAAAGTCTGCTGTGCCGCCATAGGCGAAGCTCAGGTGCGGGTCCTTGAAGATCTTTGCCGCCAAACAGGGATCGAACTGCTCCGCAGCCATTGCCAGTCCATGGGGTAATGAGTGATCCCGCGCGCCCAAATCCCAAATTCGGCAAATTCGCAAATGGCGGCGCGAGACAAACCCTCAATATATCTCGAACGGAATGAATTGGTAAAAAGATTTCTTTTCTTTTTCAAATTCTTTTTACGCGGTAGGTTGTAGGTGTATTGTTGGCAAAGAGTTAAATTTGTTTCGTTCGGCATACTCCGACAACTTTCCGAGAAGCTTTTTTCGCCAGGGTCCCCGTAGGGCCCTTGCAGGGCGAGCCAGGGCGAAAGTGCGTAGGACCCATATTCCTCAGCCCTTTATTATTAGGTATGGATGTATGTAGGAATGGGTTGTGAGTGAGTATTCTTGATACGAAACCACGACGACACACACCAGTCGACTCGCATCGGTTGCCTCCATGAACGGGTTGCCGTTTCCCCGGAGGGGGATGTTGTATCCGGCAAAGAATTTTTCAACTAAAGGCGGTCGCACGACACGATTCACGCGACAGGTGAGGCGCGGGCGACAGCGTCCTCAGAAGCCGGCAAAGAAACAAGATATAAAAAACAATCCCCGCGCCCATTTCGCCGACGAGCGACAAAACAATGGCGCTGGGCGAGGCCCTGCTGCCGGCGTCGGAGACGGAGACGAGAGCCAAGTACCGCAAGAATGTGGTCAAAATCTTTGTGGTCTACTTCATGTCGATCGCGGTCCGCGAGGTCGCCTTCGGGCCCCTCTTCAACATCTACCTCCTCGATATGGGAGGCAACATGCTTGTCGGCTCGATTGAGTCGATGCGGGGGCTAATGCAGATGCTGCTGGCGTACCCGCTGGGGAAGCTTGCCGACTCGCTGCCGCGAGTGCGAGTCAGCAAAATCAACCTCGTCATGTTTACGCTTGGCTTTGGCACCCGCGCGCCGCACCACGCCAGCCGCCCCCGCACCAAAAAGCCCCTCTCAGGGGTTGCTCCTCCTTGCAGGCATCATGATGGCAGGCATCTTCATGGACGCTCAAAAGTTCATCGTCGTTGGCATGTGCTTGTGGGCTCCGGTGACGCCACGCGGAGCGCACACAAAGCGAAGCCCACCCTCTTCCTCAGCGAATGCATGCTGGTCCTTCCAGGCGATGCAAAATTGGTTCTCCACCTCCAACGCGATTGTGGCCGACAGCACGCCGCCAGAGACACGGACAGCAACGATGGCGGACATGTCGAACATCCAGGTGATCGCGAGTGCCATCGGCCCCGCCATCCAGATGTTCTTTCTCTTCGTCTTGCAGCAGGACAGCTGGGACAGGCCGACGCTCCACAAGGCGGACGCCGCTCCGAGCCACCTGAACAGTGGGGACGTTTGAAGGAGGGGATTGAGCCCTCGCCGGCCGCGTCCTACAGGCGATGGGGGTAGCCTGCCTCATCTGGCCCATCGTCATGATTGGCGCTCGCGAGCGAGGGATCCGCGGCTCGAGAGGGACGCTCCCTCCACCTCCTCCCCTTGCGCCTGCGCTCTAGGCACGTTCATGCTCGAGGAGCTGCCGCCACTGGAGAAGACTGCGGCCAAGGGCCGCGGCAAGTACATGTCCGCCGACCTCGACCGGCCGGTGTTTGGCGGGCGGATACCGACTCGGTGGTACCTGGCCATCGCGCTGCAGATTTCTAGCACCATCACCGCGATGGGCGCCGGCATGACCGTCAAGTTCTTTCCGCTCTTTTTCAAGGCGCGCCGATCCCCCGACCGAGTCCACACTAGCCTTCTCGCCCGACCGGTCGCCGCTGCCTCTCTCAGGTGGACTACGGCTTCACGCCCCAAGCCCTCTGCCTCCTCACCTTTGCTTGCCCCATCGCAATGGCAGTGATGCAGCGCGTCTGCTTGCGCGTCTCCAACTCCCTCGGCCGGCTGCCCGCCATCATGCTGTTCCACTTTCTCGGCACGGCCGCGCTCGTCGTAATGTGCTTGTGCGACAATGTCGCGGCGCTCGTCTTCCTGTTCATAATCCGAGGCGCCCTGATGAATGCGCGCTCGCCCATCATCACGGCCGTCACGATGGACCTGGTCACCACCGAGATGCGCGGCCGCTGGGCGTCCATCCAGTCCATCACGGGCTTCTCCTGGTCGGGCAGTGCCTTCATCGGCGGCGTGATTGCCCAGGCATACGGCTACCGATTCAGCTTCTTTGTCACCGCCATCGTCTACATGGTCTCCTTCGCGCTGATGTTCCCAATCATGTGGGCTTTCCCCAAAGAGCAGGACACCACCGTCGAGGAGGCCATCTCGATGGTGCGGCAAAGCCATGCACCGAGCCGCCCCTTCTCCGTGGTGATGAACGACGCAGGCTCCTTCTTGCCGGACGACCCGGAGGCGAAGAAGAAGGCGCCGGTGGGTCCTTGAGCTTAGGCCGTACTGACGTATAGCACACTAGTCCTTTCACCTTTCAGTGGCGTCGTGTGGGCTAAGGTTTCAGAGAAGAATTCTTGTTCTGCATGATCTAGTCGAGGACGACGGCCGCTGAGGGGGCCGTCTGCGGTGGCCGTGCTCCTTGTTCGGCGGACACGGGACACATACCCTCGAGGATAAAACAGAGAGTCGACACACTGGAGGGTCCAAACTGCAATGCGAAGAGAGACTCTACACCGGCGTCGTGGCGCGGCGAGCTCGGGTCGGACTCTGCCCACACCAGCCAATGAGTCATACATTCACAGCTGTGTCGCGGCTGCGAGGTCCGACCGGACACCCTGGTACGCCCCCTGGCTCTGCAGCAGCCGTGTGCGCGGCCCGTCCGCGCCGTCGCCGCCATAGTCGTGCGCTGGCCGGCGCGGCGCGCAGGCGGCGCAGGAGGCGCAGCAAGCGAGCCTGAACAAGCGCAGTTGTTGCTTGCTTGTCTGTCGTTGTGAGTTAGTGCGGCGCCCGCGGCGCAGCAGGCGGGTGTCCGAGGAGGAGGCGTACGGAGTGCAATCTCGGCTATCATCTCGGGTATCATCTCGGGTAATCTCGGATAAGCTCGAGCCCGAGGAGCAGCGACCAGAGGTAGGGCGAGTACGCGCCGCCCCAAGACCCACCGATGGACCGGCCTGATGGCGCTCACTGTCCGGTCATTACAACAGAGGTGCAATCTTACGCTGTAGTGTGCCGCCCCAATATTACGCTGTAGTGTGCCGCCCCAATATTACGCTGTAGTGTGCCGCCCCACGCGCCAGTGTAACCTCTACCCTCGGGTAACCTCCCGTATCCTCGGGTAATCTCGCTAACCTCGCCTGCGGCGTCCGACTCGCCCAGCCGCCCCGTGAGCGCGGAGAGAGCGCACAGCTGCAGCAGCGCGGCGCAGACCTGCGGCACTCTAACCTCGGGTAGTCTCGGGTAATCTCGGGTACTCTCGGGTAATCTCAGCTGCAGCAGCGCGGCGCAGACCTGCGGCAGACTCAGAAAAGGGCTCATGGAGCGGCGGCAGGCTGCAGGCATGGAGCGGCGGCAGGGCAGGCATGGAGCGATGGCAGGGCAGGCATGGAGCGATGGCAGGGCAGGCATGGAGCGATGGCAGGGCAGGCATGGAGCGGTGGCAGGCTGCAGGCATGGAGCGGTGGCAGGGAGGCGCGGACCGCGCCCGACGCGCTGCCGCAGACCTGCGCCTCCCGCTCCATCAGCCATGAGGTCGGGTCCTGAGCGGGAAGGTTCCGGGAAGGTTCGTGTGGAGCGGCCCGCAGCCTCCACCAGCAAAGGAGGGCTTGGCTCCTCGCAGCCGGGGGGAGGCTGCAGCGGGAGGCCGAGCGCGCCGCAGCCAGCGCAGCCGGACAGCAGCTGCAGCGAAAAGGCGAGCGCCGCCTGCGCATCACACCGAGTGTGATTCCGCATCCACCCACCCACTCACCGGCCGCGGAAAGAAGGCAAGCGCTGCCGGCGCCGCGACGACGCCCCAGCCGCCTCCGCCTCCCCCGAGGCGAAGGCAGAGGAGGACAGCGGAGCAGCCGAGCAGCGCCAGCCGCGCCAGCTCGGCCGCGGCGCCTACAGGCAAGGCTCTCGGACAGCCTCGCGGAAGGTGTGCCAGGACCTGGAACCCGCGCCTCGGCTAAGCCGCGCCGGCGCCGGCGCCGGCGGACAGCGCGGCTCTGGCTTTGAGGAGGAGGGCGAGCAGCAGCGGGGTGACGGCCAGCGACCAGCTTCGCGGCTGCGGCGACGGCTGTCCCGCCTCGGCGGCGGTGAGGCGCGCCGAGAGGAGCAGGCCGAGGGCGAGGCACGAGGCGGCGGCCAGCGCGGCCGGCGCGGCGTCAGAGGAGCCGGCCGAGTCCGGTCGGTGCGACCGGGAGGCTGCGCGCGTGGCGATGAGCAGCAGCGCGCCGGCGGGCAGCGCGAGCAGCGGGGCGAGCACGAGCGGCCACGGCAGCGCGAGCGAGTGATCCGCCTTTTCGGCGTGGAGCAGCATGAAGAGCGAGAGGAGAGCGGCGCCGCCGGTGAGCGCCGCGCCGCAGCCGAGCCAAGAGGGAGGGCCGCCGGGCTCCTGGCGCATCGAGGAGAGGAGCGGCCGGTGGAGGCTGCTGCCCATCCAGCGGCCACCGACAGCGCCGAGCGCAGCGCCGAGCGCCGAGGCAGAGAGGGCTGCGAAAAAAAAGAATTCTCGCTACGCGGGGCGAGCAGTCACGCGACGGGCGAGGCGCGGGCGACGGCTTCAGAAGCCGTCGCCCGCACCACAGGAGCAGTCACACCACCAAAGCCAGACCGGGGCGAACAAAGCCAGTCCGGGGCGAAAAAAGAATTTTACGAAAAGAATTTTGAGCCGATTTGGCGCGGGGCCCGACCTCCCCTCCTAGCCTTTTTCAGCCGCGGCCCCGCCACCGTCTCGTCTAGGGCGGCGGTGGCGAGGGTGGCGCCTGTAGGGCCGGCGGCGGCGAGGGAGGGGGCGGAGATGGCAGCGGCGGTGGGTGCGGTGGCGGTGGGGGCGGCGGCGGGGGTGGTGGCGACGGCAACGGGGGGGGCAGAGGTGGCGGTGGCGACGGTGGTGGCGAAGAAGGAGGCGGGGATGGCATTGGAGGAGTTGGAGGTGACGGCAGGCGAGGGAGAGGAGGCGAGAACGGCAGAGGCGGTGAAGGCGGTGGGGACGGTGGCGGTGAGGGTGGCGACGGCGGAGGCGTCGGCGGTAAGGGGGGGGGTGGATAAACCTGTCGATCTCCTCGTCGCCCACGCCCTCGTTCCCCATGTACTCTCTCTCTCTCTCTCTCTAGGTAGGTAGGTAGGAAGGTGAAGAACAGCCAGGCTCGGACTGGACACCAACGCGGTATGGGTGTCTCTCTCTCTCTCTCTCTGTGAGAGAGAGTTCTTGTTTTTGAATTCTTTTCGGTTCCGGCTAGACGGCGACGGCCATCCGACCTCGTTATCGTCAGCCGCCTCTGGCACGGTTAGAGCGTCGGGCCGCTAGTCTGGCCACGTCAGAGCCATGCGCTCGCGATTGGCCGACCGCGAGAAGGGCAAGCGCACCGGCCGCATCGGCACTCTACCCGCCGAGGCCGCGCTGCTCATGGAGACGCGGCTCGACACAGCCAGCTGGCTCACCTTTGCTCTGGTGCTGCTCGCGTGGCTCGGCGGCCTCTTCTGGCTGGCTGGACGGCTCAAGAGCCCGCCGCCGGTCGCCAGCACCGTCCTCTTTGGTGCGGACGCGCTCGGTGCGCCGATGTCGACCGTCCGCCCGGCCACGCCTCTCGCGCCGTCGCTCGCTCTCAAGCTCGACCTCGTGCCGACCGACGCCGCGAGCTCCGGCGTGGCGACGCTGCTCATCAAGCGGCGCGTCCGGCTCAAGATCCTGCGACGGCGGATATCTGGCCGCGTCGATCCGCCACCCGCCGCTCCGACGGCTGCGCAGCGGCTGCCGGGAGCGCGCGGAGGCGCTCGCTTGACTAGTCGCTGCTGCGGCGGCCGCCTCTCTCCTGCACTCTCTCTAGCACCTCGTCCCTGCACCTCTCCTACTAGGCACGCTCCACCGGCTGCTGCTGCGCGTCGGTGCGGCGGGGGACGAGGCGGCACCGACCCTTGCCAGCTGACTTTGATGAGCGGCTCTTCTCTTTTAGGTGGCGGTGGGGAGGTGCAGCGAGACTGCTGGACTCAGCGAACAGCCGAGCAATGAATGAATTAGGCGCGGCGGGCGAGGCGGCGCACCGAGTCAGCGACGCGGTCTCGACAGGAGGCGAGAGAGAGAGAGAGGGTTAGGTTAGGGTTAGGTTAGGGTCAGGTTAGGGTTAGGTTAGGGATGCGGTCTCGACAGGAGGCGAGAGAGAGAGAGGGTTAGGTTAGGGTTAGGTTAGGGTCAGGTTAGGGTCAGGTTAGGGATGCGGTCTCGACAGGAGGCGAGAGAGAGGAGATGCGACTCCTCTCTGCCCGCTGCCTCTCCCTCGACCCTCTCCGGAGTCACTCCAACGCCGTGTTGAACTAGACTCGACTAGACCTCGGGCACGCGCATGCTCGCAACACACACACACAGCAGCACACCCCTCGGCGAGGGACTGCGCCGCTCCTAGGCTAGGTGTTTAAACTAGACTAAAGTAGACATCGGGCACTGCGCCGCTCCTAGGCGTGCGCGCCGCGTGCGGGGCTTTCACCGGGCAGGTCTCATCTCGGACTAATCTCGGCCCGATCTCGGCCCGATCTCGGCCCGATCTGGACTCGATCTCGGCCCGATCTGGACTCGATCTCGGCCCGATCTGGACTCGATCTCGGCCCGATCTCTGCCCGCCTCATGGCGCCTCTGGGCAGGCGTCCGAGGCGCCGTCGGCGCAGCTGTCGCGCTGGCTGTGCGGCGGCGCGGAGGGAGGCGGCGGGGACGGAGGCGAGGGTGCGGGGGGTGGGGAGGCGAGCTCCGGTGAAGGGGGCGGGGTGGAGGAGGAGGAGGAGGAGGAGGAGGCGGAGGAGGAGGGGGAGGCGGGGGAGGAGGTGGAGGCGGGGGAGGAGGAGGTGGAGGCGGTGGCTTCGGCGGAAGTGATTGTCAACCTAACTCGAGAGGCGAGCACGAGAGACTAGCTACTAACCCTAACCCTATCCCTAACCCTAACCCTAACCCTAACCCTAACCCTGACCCTAACCCCAACCCTGACCCTAACCCCAACCTTAGCAGGAGTGACTGACCAGGATACTGTTAGGCGAGCACGCGCTGCCGCGGGAGGATCTGCTCGCCGCTCCACCTGGCCTCCCCCTCCACACCTCTCGCCTCGACGGCACTCCCCGGACCTTCTCCCCCGCCCACCCGTCGTCGGCTCTTCCTCTAGGCGCGGCGGAGGAGAAGGGAGTGTCTCCTTGCGACCGGCAGGTAGTTGCTCACACGACTGAGCTTGCCACGCAGGCGCGGCTGCGCGGCCTGCCGCGCCACGAGTACTTCTTCGAGGTGGAGCTGCTGCCGCAGCGGGCAGCGGCCGATGCCGGCGGCGGCGGCGTGGCGACTGGCGGGGCGACGGGCGGCGGGGCGGGCGGCGGGGCGGGCGGCGGGGCGGTGCCGTTTGTGGGAGAGGCGGAGGAGGCGGTGGAGGCGGTGGAGGCGGGCGTGGAGGGAGCGGAGGGCTCGGCGCTGGCGACGGCGGCGGCGGCCTTTGAGGAGGAGGAGAGGGGCAGGAGCACTGCACGGGAGGTTCTCGGAGCTGTCCTCCAGGTGGCGCTGGTGGTGGAGGAGGAGAGCGAGGCGGCGGTGCTGCAGGAGCTGCTGCTTCGCTCGCTGCTCTTCGCTGGCTCCCTCGTCGTGCTGCGCTCGGCGCGGCGGCAGCTGCGCGACCCCCTCCCGCCTCGCTGCAACACACCAGCCAGAAGACTGTGCTACGTCGCAGGTGCGGCGGCAGCTGCGCGGCTTCCTTGCCGCCGACCTGCTCCCCGAGCAGCGCACGCTCCCCCCGCTGCTGCTGCTGGCCGCCCTCTACGCGCTGCCCCTCCCCCTCGTGCTCAGCCTGGTGTACGACCTTTCCTAGACCTTTCCTGGACCCTTCCTGTAGGCGCTGCCCCTCCCCCTCGTGCTCAGCCTGGTGTACGACCTTTCCTAGACCTTTCCTGGACCCTTCCTGTAGGCGCTGCCCCTCCCCCTCGTGCTCGGCCTGGTGTACGACCTTTCCTAGACCTTTCCTGGACCCTTCCTGTAGGCGCTGCCCCTCCCCCTCGTGCTCAGCTTGGTGTACGGGGGGCCGTGGCCTGCCGCCGCCGCCGCCCTCTGCGCTCTGCTCTTCCACGACTGGGCACTCCTCCTCCCACCTCCCCGTCGCCACCGACGCCGCCCGCCGTGATTGGTCAATCACAATGAACCAGGCACTCCTCCTCTACCTCCCCGTCGCCACCGACGCCGCCCGCCACACCGCCACCGCCTCGTGGGGCGCCGCCTGGCTGCCGCGCTCGGTCCTGCTCGTGCTCGCGGCGTCGCCGCCGCTGCTCCTCATCATCGACGACTTTGGGGGCGGGGGGATGCGGCAGGCTTGGGACGCCGAGGCCGGGAGCCTCCGCCACGCAGTTGAGATATGTGACGAGTGACGGGCGGCTGCTGAGCAGGCTCTCTACGCCGAGCCGGGGTACTACGTGGCGGGCGACTCCGGGCTCACGCTGCCTCTCCCAGCCACGTTCGGGCTGTGGGGGGGCGAGGAGAGGGCGACCGGCATCACCGTGATCGCACTCTTCCGTGCGGAGACCAGGGCACGTCCAGGACATGTCCGAGACATGCCCCATAGGCTCACTGGTCGCACTCTTCCACGCGGAGACCGCTGTGCTGGTCGTGGCGGCGGCGTGGGAGGTGCTCCCCGCCCCGTCACCTTCACACCTTCACCATCGA